GTTATTATTAATTTGAAACTTTAGTTAGTTTATAATTAAATAGTTATTAACAACAGTTGTAGAAATCGTGAATTATTATCAAAGTAAGTTGTATACAAAAAAAAAAATTAAACAGATAACGTGTATTTTGAGAGAAACGTGATATTCACATAAATACATGTTTAAAAGGTGATTATGTTGAATCGAAATCTCGTTTTACAGGGATAATGATAGATCATCGTTGAATTGTGCTTCCATGTTAAAAGGTGGTTGGTGGTGGAAATCGTGTGGACGAGGATTAAATGGTCTTTATTTGAATGATCCTCAGGATTTAACTGCTCGGCAAGGTGATATATATATATGCATATATATTTATTTATATTTACATACTTGTTCACAATTTAATATATTCGATAAAAAATTCTCTTTTCAAAGGTATTGTATGGTTCCGTTGGAGAGGTTGGGATTATACTTTGAAACGTGCTACGATGATGATTAAACCGAAAGGACCAACAACAATAACGATATAGAGGCTTACATAAATTTTTCTAGAAGAATTATAATACGTTTGTAGCGTTTGATATCAATGAATACACTTTTTTTACAGTTACCAAATATGTATATTTTATATACATAGATACATATAAGAATTTTATAATAGCATCGAATGAAATAATCTTTCAATGGAGAATTTTCATTCTCTCTACAGATTTTCATTAAACGTATTTTAATTATTCGGTATTTTACATTTATTTCAATGAAATTATATATTTTTCCGATTTTGATAGATTAACAATGCAAAAAACAATTGCAAAATGCAAACAGAATAATTAAGCATAATTATTAAATATAGTTTCAAAACATTTAATTTTTTCGAAATTTTTATAAATATTTTTTTATAAGCATAAAAATATAAAATAATTTATGCTGGTTTTTATTTACTTAATCACTCAATTAAATTTGACAACCATGCGAACTTATAATTTATATATTGTATTTCAAAATACTTTAAAAATAATGGAAATTTAATTTCGTGATATGATTCGTTTTTCAAAGTATTTATTATTACTATGACTGCTACTAGCACTGCCATTGATATTGCTATTATTATTAATATTGATGCTATTATCGATTCTTTTATAAATCGAAATTCATTTTGGAATTAATTACTTACTTATAAAAATAATAATGGTAGAAAATCTGCCATATTCTATAAAAACGATCGTTATTCGTAAAATTTTTTATTGTAAATATGTGCATATCATATATTATAAAGATTAGTTATAATGATATAAAACATTTGATAGCTACGAAGTTATTTTTGATCAAGTAGTAGTCGATTATATAATCGAAGAAAAAATTTAAATTATAATTGTTAAAACGATTGGATTGTTCAAATATAATTCAAAAACTATAACAAATTATTAACGATCCTTTTTCACAGAATAGTTTCAATAAGTGAGTTTTTTTCATTTTCACATTGCCTGTTGTAATGAATTTCTTATTATGTATTTTTATACATATATTTATATCATCTTCATAATATGAATCAATGAAGATTACATTTGTACCTTGTAATGAGAAACATGTATGATTGACTGTAAAATAATGCATAATAGTAAAAACACAATAATAGTACAATTTCATTATATAATAGAATAATAAAAAAATAGAAAATTAGATTGACGATTAAAACGCGTAATAAAGAATAAAATTCAGTAATTATAAGATGGATGTTATGAAATCTATATTATTAATTTAATTATGTAATTAATCAATCGCGTGAAAGATATCAAAAGAATAGATTATTACAAATATATGTAAACAAATACTTAGGAAAAATCATTTTGGATATATAATTTATATTGTATATTGTAATTACATTATTGAAACGTTAGTTAGAAATTTTATAAAGATATTAATAGAAAATTATAAGAATAAGAATCGCGTTCCAATATTTATATGAACAATGGAAAGATATAATTTAATTATGCACTACTATGAAAATGATCATGAATCAACAAATAGGCCTGAGAATCAGTGATTTAAATTCAGTTGATAAGAAAATTGAATTATGTTAGAATTTTATTTTAAGTTATTTAATATAAATTATTTCAACATATAAATGAAAGCCAACTTAATACTGAAACCGAAAAACATAAAAATATTCGAGGAAAGTTATTTTTTTTTTTAAGTATTAATTTAAAAATATGAATTTCTCAAAATATGATTTATGCCACTATGATTTTCAGTCCTTCAAAAAATAAATTCTTAAATGACATTCAATTAATCTTAGTCATCATATAGACTATTTATGAAACCTGATTCGTCATTCTTCTGTTTAACAGAAGTCCATAATCCGACACATAAAAATAAAGAGATACAACCGAAATCTCGGAGAAATCTCAAATACTGAAAGAGAATCAAAAATATTTATTTGGTGGTCTTAAAATGAAAGTTGTAATAGAAATGTATGTAATTATAATTACTAGATTGTAAATGTTTATGTAAATTTCATATTTTTATAAATATAATTTAAAAAATGAAACTCAAATAGAGATTCATTTCATCTATCAAATATTGTAACGAGTGCTTTGTTTTATTATTTTTTTTTTTTATATTATTATATTATGTTATATTGGACATTCTATTTATATTTTATTTTTTTTTAAAATATATAAATATTACTATCTAGTAATTATTTTTAATAAAGATATATGTTTTTAAATATGAGTCGTGAAGAAGAAAAAAAATATTGGCTCAAAAATAAACGATTAGAATATCTCAAAAATGTGTTTTTTTTTTCATTATTATTAGATTTACATGCTTATAATTAATTTCATTTAATATCTTGTAACTAATTTCTTCGATTTTATTATTTTATGAATATGAAAAACAATAGATATGATCATATAGAATTTTCTATCGTATTTGTAATAAAATATTTTTTAAAATTCTCTCGATTGATTTTCTTCTTTTATCGATAAAATTAAATATAAAAAAAGAATCAGAATTAAAAGATTAAATTTGAAAAACGTTACTAAATTGCAGAATTACTGAATATTTTTTTGAAGTCAATTATTATTATAAGTTCTTAAAATTTTCATTTAGAAAGTTACTTAAAAAAGTCTACTAATTCTTAAATTTAATTGAAGTTAAAAATATTCTATCTATTTCTAATTTATATCTAATTTAACTTACCTAATAATTTTTTACAATTTCATTATTTTTCGATATTGATTCAATTTTCTTTTTTAATTTTATTTCAAATTCATAAATTATTAAAAATCCTTTTTTTTTCCTACAATAGTTTCAATAATCAGCTATTTATATGCACACAAAAAAATCAAATACTTAAGATAAGTATATAAAATATATAAGATTAAACTAATTATATTATAAGATAATAATTTAGCTCAATTCTATTTTAGAAATTCATAATACAAATTAATAATTCTAGTGATTAAATAGATGAATAAAAAAAATTATTAATAAATAATTGAATGCGTATCAATGAAATATTAATAAAATAATAAAATATAATGAAATATTAAATAAATATCATAATGAAATAAATTGGTCATCTGAAACAAAACATTTAATTGGAATAAGTTTCGACAACAGAATGATTTTCGCATAGCAATCGATGCATCAAATCACAAAAGGAGAATATTGTCAATAATTTGACAAATCGAAACATGTCGAACGTAACATGAACGCGACCATCAATTTTTTAGAAAGGCTGACTCATAAGAAATGTTTTCAACGTTGGAGTTTCGAACTTATCAAATCAAAACAAATAGAAAAATAATAATACATAGTTGAACGTACGGATGACGCATTGAGGAAAGAAATACATATTGACCAATCTAGCTATTTCTGTATACATAAAAAGAGACAAAGGAAATTTATGAGAATTACGTTTCGTTAAAATAATAAAATCTTACTATATTTGCATGAAAATCGTCGGATGTCTTTTAATTATTACGATGTGCGTAAAAACTTTCAAAACAAAGTTTGAAATTATTTTCAGAGAAACACATGTCAACACCACAATTTTACACTAAGGTTATGCGCACTATAATGCGCAATGATTCATCTTGCGTTTGGATTTTAGCAATTTTTTGATTAGAATTGCATCTTATTTTAAATTGAAGTACTTAATAATATTTATAATACGTTTTATATATTATGAGTTATTTTGCGCGATCAAAAAATCAAAAAATTAAAATTTTATCGTTTCTTCATGATCATCTATATTGAAATTTTTCTCTGTTTTCAAAGACAGATTAATAATCAGCTAAATAAAAAATATATAGAATTAAAATATATATAAAAATAAATATATAAGATTAAATTAAAATAAGACACTAATAAGACAATTTCATTTTAGAAAAATATATAATCATAATACGAGCTGCAATTTTAAGAAATCAATTTCTTATCGAGCAAATTAATAAAGAAAAAAGAATAATTTAGCAATTAAATTAATTAATTAAAATAAAAAAACATGTATTAACTGCGTAATGTAAACGGACGATAAAGAATAATTATAAATGTAAATTTACGCAACAGACAAAACACATATAAAGGAAGAATGACATTTACACAATAATTATTGATACTAAAATGACTGCACTGGAATTTCGATTATCGAATCAGAAAGGAATGTGCTCGACAATTCGATAATCGTTTTCACTGAATCGCATATAAGATATAATAAGATAATTTTAAAATTTTAATAATATAAAGAATTATCGCGTGTTACATCTGTGTCTCGTTTAGTATAGTGTGAATAGAGTTAAATCATCAACAGTGATTTTTTGGATAAAAAATTGCCACGATTAATTTGTTTTTTGAAAACAATTGTAATAAAAATATCGATAAATAATGCAATAGACAAGTTCACATTCATAATGAATATTAAAAATGTCATATATTACGTATTTTATTATTTTTAATGCTAATCGAAGAATAAACATTTTAATACTTAGAAAGTTAATGTGTACATAAATTATAAGAAATATAATTTTATTTTTAAAAGTAAAATAGATTATATCGAAAGTTATAAATATGGAGAAACAAAATGTAATAAAAAGAAGAGGTTATTATTCCGAAATCGTAACAGGTAAATTTAATCATCTAAATTCTTAAATTTATAAAATATTATATTTATCTATTTTATCCAACAATATGTTTGTAACACATTTTTTACCTACAATATTTTTTAAATATATATACGCATATATAAATTATAAAATAACACGTGCAGGAACTACGGAAAATCCTGTTACACCGGAAGTAGTCCTTATACCAATTGCACCAAGAAGAGTAAAACTTGCATGGCAAGTTGCTACCGAGCAGCATAGTATGTGTATTAGAAAATTACTAGACGAAGAATCGTATAATTTCCTCGGTGAAGCTAAAAGATGGATGAGTTTTCCCCTGGATCGATCAATTGTGAGTATCAAAAAACATTTGAAGAGATTGCAAGATTTTCCAAGTTGTCGAAATGACAATGAATTTAATGTAAAATAGGAATATTTTTTTTTTTGATATTCTATCAAATTTTTTATAAACAAAAAAAGAAATAAAATTCATTCTGTGACGAGATATATGAGAATATTTTATTTCAAAGTATTAATTAATCGATTTTTGTTTTTTCTATAAAACAGAAAAAATACTCTCCATTTTTTAATTCTAATATAATTTTTGTACTTTGTTTCTCTCAAATGTAAAAAATAAGAAATTTTAATCATAAATACTCTATTTCGCGTTATTGAAATTATTTGCTTTGAATTAATTTCAATTATTCCATTTAACTTTGAAGAGTGAAATTATCTAAAAAATATTTCAATGAAAATAAAGAAAAAATGTTCTTTCATGAAATCGATAAATGTGAGAATTTGTTTGCCCGTATTGGAATTTCTATGATTCTTTATATTAAAATTTACACAGTCGGTAAAAAAGAAATATATCAAATATTCGTGGAATAGATATTTCCTGCGGAAACTTTTATTCCCAAAGTACAAATGGAACAAGATGTGGCGCCGAAGCAGTGCCCACGAAATGTTGAAATGGAAAGGAGACGAAGATTGTACAAACATATAAAAATTCAGGATACATTGGCGAGTATTAACATAATACCAAAAGAAATGTTGCCTCCATCCGCCTTAGCACCTCTGTTGTCCTATGACGAGAAATACGGTTTATTTAGTATCGCACATTTCCTGCCTTTGGAAATTTTTGACGACGAAGACTATGATTGCAGGTATGTGAGCAAAAATGCTGTAACATGGAATTATTTGAAATTTATTTAGTAAAATAAACATATATTAAGATTTCTTTCTATGCTCTTTGAAATAACATTTAAAAACAATAATAAATGATAAATGATAGATGAAAAATAAAAAGTTATATAAATTGTTTACACTTATTATTATATTATTGTATATTATTGTATAATCTTCAACAAATTTCTTCAAATAATTTATATCCACTAATAAAAAGCCGTTTTTTTCTACAAAATATTGATTTATTGAATACATTAAGACTAAAAGATTTTTCAGATAATTCAAATATTGAAAAATAATAATTTTGAAGAAATATTTTGACTAAATATTTGAAAATGATTATTGATTGAAACATATTATCAATGTACATACAATATTATTAAAATTTTAGTTAAATTTCCTGATTGCATTATTATTTTAAAAGAAATAATTCTATTTAATTTTATTCTTTATTTGTTTTCTATTTGGTATTTTCATAAAAAAATATTTGTTAATTATTCATCCTTGTGTTTGTGTGTGTTATAAACTATAAATGAAAGTATTAAAATCTCGTCTACGACAAGTCTTGATTAATAGTCTTTTAAAATTATTTACCATTGAAAGTATCAGCGAATATCTAATGATACAACTTTGAAATAATACACCATGTCATGTACATCGATTTTCGTATTTGTTACAGAACAATAGAAGATTGGATAGACTTGGGTTTCATCGATGAAAAGCGTTATCCGTTGCCTGCTAGCGTTTTCGTACCGAGGCATCGATTCGAAGACGAAATATTCCATCTCGATGACGAATTCTTAAACAATCTGTTCGTTTGGACTAAAGCCGCTGTTTTTGATTACGATTATAAAAAAAATTATGGAGTATACTCACACTTGACGGTACAAAGCGGGAATTCGAGATACCAAGAATTTACATTCGATTCTTTGCCGAAGATCCCAGAATTATCAACGAGGATTCTAAGCTTTACGCAAAGAGAGTGGTGACAGCTGTCGAACAAAGAAAAATCACTGAAGCTTCTGTAAAGTAATTTTTGTTTATTGATTAGAGATTTATTTATTTCGACGTATTATAAAAATTAAAATTAAAGTTATTGTTAAATGTAATACCAATCTCGATGAATATGATGAATTTTTAAATCGTTATTCTTTTTTTTTATTCTAAATATTTATTAATTTTTTAAATTTTTCAATATTTATTCTAAATATATTTATATAGATATAATTTTTATTTGGATTGCATGCAAATGGATGGTATGACCACGTTGAATGAAGAACAAATAGAAACTATCATTCGTTTGATTTATCAGAATAATCAAAAATTTAATACAAGATACAAAAATATAATGCAGGTATGTAAAATGTTTTTTAAATAAAATTTGGTATAAAAAAAAATATTTAAGAATAATTTAAATATTTTTTAATTTTTATAGGATTGAACATAATAGAATAGAAGCATATAAATTTTCTATTAATATAATATTGTACCATTGTATTGTATTGTACATAATTGTTTCTATTTTAGTTGGTCGATGAAATTTCCTTGGATTATCAACGCACAATGTGCGATCTCATGTGGAGAGGAATGATACAAAAGAATCCAGAAATGTTTAAATTCATCACATGGATACCCGAAGTTGAACCTATGAAAGTGCCGGAAAAAGGCAAATTTGATACGGGCATGAAAAACTTTTTGGTAATCGTCCGTTAATAATGTTTTCACGAGAACTTCATGTCATTTCATGTTGAATTAATAACTATTCTTGAATAAAAATATCTGCACTTTTCACTTTCATTAAAATAGAAATATAAATAAATATAAATTAAATTTTATAAATTTACGATAACCTAACTTTTATCGAAATAATAATTTTAAAAACATTTACTTAGCATAAAAATATCAAAATAATAATATTTCTATCTAGAAAATTAAAAAATACACTCACTGGATAACATTATATGTTCACGAAGAAGTATACAGTGCAATGAAATGTATTGTAGTAGAATGTAAACAAGCTGCATCTATGAATTTATTCGCCACTTCATACGGAAAACAAATAAGGTTAAAAGAATTCGAAGATTTGCAAATACAATCTACCATCACAGTTATTAAATATTTGAAAGAACCGTGGTTAGAAAAAATTACACAATCAGTAAGAATGTGTCTTCGAGATCTTGGAAAAGGATGGTTTAATCTTGAACAAAAAGACCACAGCGTCTATGATATAATGAAATTGAAACGTTTCATGGATCTCACTAATCTTCGTATGCAGGTGGGTACATATACAAATACAATGAAAATAAACAGTCAATCTGGTAAGATTCTGTAATTTTTGAATATGAAAGAGATGTTCGTGTATTTCGAATATTTCTGACAATAATAGAGAATTTTTAGTAATACATAAAAGCTTATTGAAATTGAAGTGGAAAATAAAACAAATAATAAGCATTTATGCAAATATTTACGAATAAAATAGTAAAAAGACATTTCAAATAGATAAATGTTGTTTAATAAATGTAGAAATCGATCAATATTTTTAGTAAATTACTTTTGATATTTCTTTATTTCATATTGGCACAAGTTTTCTTATTTTTTTCATAGATACTTATAATATACATATATCGGTATACACAAATTAAACAAAAAATGTTTTATTTCGCGTTCATATCGCTAGATGAAGCCACGAGTCTTGGTCAATACATATAATACATTCGTATATCACGAATGTCGATATTGATAATAAATGTAAATTAGAATTTTAAGAAAAAAATTTTAAATTTAGCAAAGATATTTTGTCTTTATACATATTTATTCAAAAATATTTTATAAATGTAAATATGTTGTTTAAATCTCTTTTTTATAAACTGAGAAAAGTTTCTTTTAATTAACTTTTTATGACGATAAAAAAAAGGTATAAATAATATAATTTTTCTTCGACTTCTATTTACAAGAACATTTTACAGAAATATTTTTTATTTACAAGACTAACTAGTATGCATAAAATTACAGAAAAATATGTATATATATATATATATATATATTGCTATTTTTTTTTATTGAAAGCAGTAACAATAATAGATATTGAATGAATAATATTTTTCTTAACATAGATTTGAAAGTATGGAAGTTAAAATTCTAATAAAAAAAAAATTGTAAGATATTTTTTTAGGGAAAATAAGAAGGAATATTAAAATTTAATATATTTTTTATTACGCATTTTATTTATGTATAATTAATATATTATTATTTCTTTTTCAAAAAAAATATGAAAAAAAAATTAGTTTAATTTTATTTCTTCCGTATCTCATATTTTAAATTTTTTTTCAAAAAATAAAAAATTTTATTAATATTAATTTTCTTTTAAGTAAAATATACATATCTAAAGAAATTTTATTAGATATCGCGTTTCTCAAAATTTTTTATTTGATTTCGTTTAATAAAATTTTTTTTTTTATTGTAAATAAAACTTCAAAGTTATAATTTCAATGGTTTACAGGTCAAGTATTCTAAATTACAATAATATAACAATTCAAAATCAACAACAATCAATCAACAATCAATTAATAATTTACAAAAAAGCACGAATAAAATAAATGATTTTTTTCGTCGATTTTTTTTTTCATTAATATATATAAGTTAAGCCAAATTTTTTTTTAGATCTAAATTGCATTTCTCTTAAGAGTTGAATAAATTATTATATAAAAAAAACTTTTGTTCCTAATTACGTTAGGAATCTTGATGAAATCTTCTGGAAAATGAATAGATTTTGTTGGTGATATAATATTGTGTAATAATATATGTCAGTTTGAATAATTAAAAGTTTTGATCGACATATATGATAATCGTGTCAACGATGTTACACATCTTATTCTGCGTTATCTTTTTACTAACAAAAATAAAATTTTTACCCGAGAGAGCCCGTTTCGGAAGCCGTTGACGCGATGAAGTGGAAAATGATGCTTCTACTGACAGTGTTGACACAAATTGTAGCATAGGTTTGGCTTACGAATATAGCCATGTTGGATATTGAGGAAGAAATGTCATTATTAGATATATAATGATTTTATCTTATACAAGTTAGCTATATTTTGATTATATTTTTTATATTATGAATAAATATCGATACTTGATTAATGTAAGTAATAAAGATAAATTTTTCAGGAAATAGGCTTTTATTATAGTAGAAAATTATTTAATTATTTCAACGTCTAACAATGCAAAGATGCCATTCTTTTATAATTCTAATATCTTGGTTTTAATATTTTTTGGTTTTAGAAATTTCGAGTAAAATATTTCAATATCTTGAATTACGACATTATTTTTATTATGTAATTATCTTGAATAATTCTGTCAGATGACAAAATATAATATATATATATTACTTTTTTATAAAATTTAATAGATACTTTAAATAATGTGTTTTGGATTTCTTTTAGATAGTGTTTTTTCATGCGTATCTAAGTGAAGTCTTAATTTACAAAGAATGTTTATCGTAGAGTAAAAAAAAAAAAATATTATTTTTTTCAGTTGAATAAATTCCAGTTAAAAAGAAAAATATCAAGTACATTTTACACAATAATTTGTCAACTATATTATTAGTAATTTAAGTTATAAGTTATGGAGGATGCATTTCACTTTTACACAATTTTATTTATATAATTATTATTAATTATTTATAAATTAATTATTTATAATCTTCTTATATCATAATTAGTATGCACTACGAGTTTTGGTGGAAGAATCGATCAAGTTCTATAGAAATATTCTGGAAATTCCAGCACTGTGTGTCTTACATGTAGACGAATCATTTGTTTGGGGAGATGATCTCATTAACACTCAGTTCTCTCCCGCTGGCATGCCTATTTTTCTCGTTGACCTTCAAATGGATGAGCAAAAACCATTTTACTCGACAAATCCTGAGAAATTTCTCGTAAGTGTATTTTCGTTCGTATTAATAATGAATGATTTTTTTTTTTTATTTCTTTATTATTCTTTAGATGAATGTATCAATATATTAGTTTTTAATGGAATTTAATGGAAGTTCTTTTAAATATTTTATCACAATTCAGTATTTTCTCTATTCTTTTAAAAAAGATATACTTATAGATATATTGATAAATTAATTTTTAAAAAATGAAAAATCTCTCGTTCATAAATCTTTCTTCATTTCTTTTTTTTTTTTTCTAAGGAAAGTATCATTACTTTATATGATAACGCACTCACTGCCTGTCATCAAGTCAGACAAATACATCCTTTTCTACTTCCGAAGTTAAAATTCCCTGTTCATTTATATCTAAGCTCCGTTGGTCTGCTCGAGGATCAGGTATGCAATGTTCGTGAATCATTGAAAAAAGCATATAAGAAGTCCATAATACCTTTAAAAGCTTACGCAAAAGAATTCAGTCGATATCAATTATTCTTCAATCTCAACATCGCCAAATACATTGAGTAAGTATATTCATAACAAAGTTTCTTAAACTTTTTTAAACTTGAAACGACAAAAGATAATCTATTTTTATAATAATTAAATAATATATGTTCTTTATCTTTATTTATATAAAAATTAAAATTAATTTTATAATAGTCAATCGATCAAAATCAATTTAATATGATCATCAAAAAATATACATGAAAAATAAAATTAATTATAAATCTTAATTTTTACTTTTATTAAATAAATGTAATAACGAGTATCTCAACTTTTATATGTCTACCAACATTACCGACTGAATAAATATATGATCGATAGAGATCCACCAGAGGGAATTAGTGAATCAAAACATAGAGATGGATAGATACATGCTACTACAACTATATCTATCATAGTTTTTTTAATATTTTTAATACTTTTTTCAAATATTATATTTTGCGTATAAATTTAAATGCATACACGTGTATTATTTTCAACTATTCGTCAGATCCACAAGAATAAATATTGACAGCTGAAATTAGAAAATATTCCAACAATAAATTGGATCATCTAAATACAGTAGTAGGCTTGATTAATATCCATACTAAGTAATAATGATAGTAAAGCTAATATGTAATGAATTTTGATTATTTTGGTCATTTTTATGCTTAATTAAACGCTTTTTTATTCCCATTGGCAAACAGAACGCGTCAAATAACCTACGAGGTCAAAAGACGCAGTTGATTTATTCATCGAGATTAAATGAAATTCCATTTTGAAGGGAATACAAGGAAGAGGAACTTACCACGGCCGAGATAAAGGAGGAAATCTCATTTCATATCACGATGAGACAAAATCTCCAAGTTACTTTACCGAATTTCATTACCATTGGTGCGTTTGTAGTGAACGTTTATCCCTTGAAGGAATTTCTTATAAACAAACGCAGTGAATGTGCCAAATCATTGCTCATTATGTTCACGGAAAAAATACGAGCAGAAATCGATGACATCCTGGACGAATATAGACAGATAAGATACAAATTGAAGGAAGTGCCACAGAGTATCGAGCACATATTCGAAATACGGGATTGGATGGAAACTATACCACTTCGAGTACAGGATCTCGAAGAAAAGATGGACAAATTGAAAATAGATTATGATATTCTCGATAGTTTCCTCTGGAATATATCCGACGATGATTTTGAAGCGAAATGGGAAGTGATTGGATCGCCTTTTCAAATTGAGAAAGAGGTAAAATATTCGTTGTAAATTAGAGAATCAGACTTGATTAAAAATTCACTTATTAATAAATTAATTTTTTTGGCATTAAAGTATTAGCTGAAAATAATGTTTATAATTTATAAAAATAAGGTATAAATATATAGAAATAATAAGGTATAAATATATAATAAGGTAAATAATAAGGTAATAATTGATAGATTAAAATTTTAACTGTTCATTTAAATGCAATATTAATTCTTTCATTATTAAATTAATTAACCGTCAAGAATTTGAAATATTTTTATATATAAAGCTGCATATGATTTCAAAAACTTCCAATATCTAAAATATACTTCAAAAAATATTTATTTATATAAAAGTTTTAAATATTAAAATTTCATTTTAACGTCAATCTTTTTACTCTTTTTAATCTTTTAGTTTTTAATCATTTTAATATCTTCCATAATTGTTGCAACATATTTTCATGAATTATAGCTTTATTTTCTTTATTTAATATACAATAAATATGTATTCCATGTAAGCAAATCCATTATCGCGTAAAATATTTCAACTTTATTCTTGAAATATGCATGTCAGTAATGAAAAATTTCTTGGCAAAAATTTTTCTTTTTAATTTGAACGATTTTGTCATACAAATATTTCGTACGAAATGAAAAAGAAACTGATAAATTGTTTTTTCATAATGATTGACAATAAAATACAATTATATTTCCTACTTACAAACCACTTTTAAACGGTTCTGTCTTTATTTAGGTCAAATAGTAAGAAGCATCACTAAGTAAGCAAAACCCAATAATTACTTTTCTCGTACTTTGATAAGATTGCTAATTAAATAAAAGAGTTCTGTGAATCCTTTATAATTAAATATTCACTCAAATAATGCAATGCTCGTTGTTCTTTTCCATGTTCGGAAAAATACAAAGAAAATTCCGAGGTCGATCTATAATAAAATTTGATTACTGATTAAATTTCAATAATGCTATAATAATAATAAACAATTTGAATTCCAATTTTTGGATACGTTTACCATATGATAAACATATTTTACATAGTTAGTAAAATCAAAATTTAATCTCTGTAATAAAATGTGTTCAATCGATTTGACTGGCCTATAATCCAGCTCTCTTTTTATATACCAAACATAAGAGGTTAATATAAGAAAGTACAAATAAGTAAAAAAAAAAGAGAAAAGCATCGAGTTGTATCGAAAACAAAAATTGATACATAAGAGTAATAAATTTAGGCTTAAATTTTAAATTATAAACGACTTGATTCTAATTTTTCATTAACTTGTGTTAATAAACGCGTAGCAATTAAGCGAGCTAGCGGTCGATCGATTGCATACGTACAAGTGCTTCTAGTACAGAAATAAATTACTTCTCAACATATACGTTATTTTTTCAAAAACCGAATCGAATATCTTAACAATGTGTGCAGTATGAAATGTCAAAAATACTTTTGATAAGTAAATAAGATGCGTTACATTATAGCATAATAAAATAGCAAATATTTATTAAAAATAATTTTTAATTCCTATTCTCTGTAAATTCAATTTTATATAAAATGGGCTAAAATAATTGTTATCATATATTTTTACGACCGACCAAATTATAGAATATCATGAGTGTATGTATATATATTTTACGCCTCGCAGGTGATATTGGAAGTTGTCTCGAGAGGTTCATAAAACTACAATTTGAAACTCTATATTTTCCGATATATTTACATAATACGTGAAACATATCGTGAAAATTTTTATTCATTTTGAAAATGGAATTTTCTAGTTTTCTTTTTTTCAATTATATTTGTATATATCATTATAATATCATAAAAAAAAAAGATTACATAGTTACTTGCAAATTATTATAAAATAGTATACAAGATATAAAGAAATGGGAGGTTAGGAATGAATAGAAATAAGTAATGTTAATTTATGTATATAAATCACCTTTTATTTCAAAATTTATTAAATTTTAAATTAGTAAATAACTTTAAATTACATTCAGATTACATTCATTAACACGTCGAAATAACTATCAAAAAATTTACATTTAACTAGGTTCAGGAGACGAATGAACGATTTATAGAGGAGCAAGATAAATTCCATAAGATCCAATTACAGGATGAGATCCTGCTGCTGGAAAAAATAGATACTTTGGTGGGCAATGTGGCGAACATTGCTCTTCAAACGGATGTTAGCCGCATCCACGAAATAGCTCTCGACGTGAGGCGGGTATGGAAGGCTATGCTCGATTGTCGAGAAAATGGTTTATTGCTGAACGAACGACAAAAGTTATTTGGCCTAAAAGTAGTGCCTTTCGAACACCTAAATAAGCTCATAAAGGAATTCGAACCTTACAAAAACTTATGGATTACGGCTTCGGGCAAGCATCCAATTATTATTTGCCCATTTTTATTTCATTAAATTCATTTCAATGGATTTCTTTTTAGGGGTATAAACTATAGTGATAGAGAGTAATTGAAATTAAAATTGAACTTAATTCAAGAAAAATTGTTCATCTTTCTGATGAATTATATTCTAATACAAATTTTTAAGATTATAACGTATGTAATGTGTATATATATATATATACATATATACGTATATTTATATTTATCTTTTGTCTATAAAATTTTTAGAATGAGAATTTCTCACGATGAAAGTAAAAGTTGTAATTATATTTTCTACAAAAGTGTGAATCAAAGAAAAACTTAATATTAATTTGAATTTCTTTTTATTCCTCTGAGAATAGAATACAAAAAGTTCAATTTTATTAAAATAATGGTATCCCAGAATTTTCGAAAACGTTATTATATAAAATTTTCTAAAAGCATTTGTTAAAAATTGTTAAAAGCTAAAGCTAGATAATTCTTATGGAGTTAATTTTTTGCAATTTATAGATTGGCTCAAATGGTACGACACATGGATGGATAATCCCTTAATGAACGTTGACGGCCTTCAAATTGAAGGTCTTGTTGCCGATATGTATCGGCAAATAACACGAGCAATTAGAACGTTTCAAGAATTTCCAAGTAATTTAATAATTTGATGATTACCAATGAAAATTGTTGCGCAATCTCGATTTAAAAATATATACAGTTTGTAAACTGGAATGAGGTTAAAACTATTACATTAACGTATCATTAATCGTTACATTTCACAACTTGTACAGTTATATAAAAGAAACTTTTAAGAAATGTTAAGAAAATATTTACGTTTACGTGAATCTATTGAATTTATTTAATTAATTTGATGAACAAGCTTTTCCTATATCTTTTAAAATTTTTTTAATACATAATTAATGGAAAAAAATTTTCCTTAAATTTCGTTATATATTTTTTTTAATTAATTTGTAATAGATGTTTTTAATTTTTTTAAATAACACTTTTAATTTTAAACAATTTTCTTTTTTTCCTAAACGCAGAGGTGCAGGCAGTTGCAATTATGATAAGGGACCAAATAGACGAATTCAAACCGTTTATACCTCTGATACAAGCTCTCCGGGAGCCAGGGATGAAGGATCGCCACTTTGAGCAATTGAGCGCGCAAACTGGAATATTAATGGCCCTTAAACCCACCATAACATTTAAAAGCCTGTTAATTCTCGGTATTAAAGAGTTTGAGGAATTGGTGAAAATGGTCGCTGATACTGCGGCCAAAGAATACGCTACAGAACGAACATTGAATAAAATGATCGAAGAATGGGAAATGGTTGTTTTTGAGATTCTTCCATACAAAACTACCGGTAAGTACACGTATATACTTCTCACAAATGAATTTATTCAGTGTTCACATATTGTTTTAACATATAACGAAATTTATTTTACATATTATATATTTCTTTTTCTTTATTTAACATCATTTAAAGACTTAAATTAATAAATAATTATTCGGTTCTTAATTATTTATATATCATAACTCGTATAATTTCGAATTCCTTACATCAATTTCAAATATCTAATAATTTTTTTTTTCACAATTTTTAATCAATCCTCGCTATGAGAAGTATAATAAATATAGTTTGAAAATTTGTAAGGAAAAGTGAAATTATGATATATCGTTTGAATATCGAAATTTTCTCTAATTGCAATCTTTGGATCATTTTTTTTTTGTTAAACAATCCTACGTTTATCTATGCAGGAACGTATATAATAAAGGTCTCGGAGGAAACGTTGATGATGCTAGAACATCATATTGTTAACGTGCAACAGCTTGCGTACAGTCCACTGAAGACCGCCTTCGAGGACGAGATCAATGAATGGGAGAGGAAGTTAAATTTGACAGAAAAAGTTCTTAATCTATGGATAGAAGTACAAAGGTGAGGATCACATGGAAATGTGATTTGTTTGTTTCGATGATAAGAAAGTTGGATTGTAGAGAGTGGATGTATCTGGAGCCAATATTCACTTCGGAAGATATTAAAGTTCAGTTACCGTTGGAAACAAGGAAATACAACGCCATGGAACGAAACTGGAGGCGGATCATGAAAAATGCTTATGAAAATCCTTACGTAATTTAAATTTTCTAATATATATATATATATTCTTCCATGTGGAACACTATTGTGCAATTATATTTATAATACGATTGAAAATTGAAATATTTGATCAATTATGCGAATACATGTACAATGGATTATTTCATCGTGAAATTTTAATCGCGAAATCCATGATATTAATAGATAATTAAGCGATTTATCAATTGAATAGGTATTATAAGATATTTATTTTTATCGTGTAAAATGTTATAATTGCCTGTAAATATATATATATATTTTCCATAACGACATTCGATGATAAATTAGCAATTCTTCAGATTAAATTAATTACGGATCGAATAAATATAGCAATGAAAATAAATATAATTGATGAAAATTATATAAAAACTTTCAAAATTTCTATCATTTAAATGCATGTTAATTTTCACAACAGATTATCAAGATATGCCCTGACGAAAACCTCCTTGAAAGTCTTCAAGAATGTCTAAGTCTGCTGGAAGTAGTACAAAAAGGTTTATCCAATTATTTGGAAATAAAACGAAAGATTTTCCCCCGATTCTATTTCCTCAGCGACGAGGAACTCTTGGAGATCTTGTCCCATGCGAAGATCGTACAAACGGTACAACCACATCTCAGAAAGTGTTTCGAGAATATATACAGAGTAAGATTCGAAGAAGATCTGCAAATTACCCGAATGTACTCTGCGGAAGGTGAAGAGGTGGTATTTGATCCACCGATGTACCCGGAGAGAAGTGTTGAATATTGGCTGGGTGATCTCGAGAAAGTGATGCGCAATACCATTAGGGAGATCATTCGCAAAGCGTTAAGAGTCATCCATGAAACTCCAAGGAAAGTATGGGTATACATGTGGCCGGGACAAGTGACACTTTGCTGCGGCCAAACTTATTGGGCTGCACAAGTGGAGAATGCGATCAATAAGAAGAAACTTGATGATTATTACCAAGTGTTACTGGGAAATGTAAGATATTTTTTATTTTTTGGATTAACATCAGGGGATCATGTTTATAGAATGTAGAAATAGACTTTTTCAAAATTTATTCTTATTACTTGATTTAAATTTTCCAGTTCATTGTTTCTTGTTATAATAACTTCTCTGGCATATAAATCATAATATCATAAATCAAAAATGTTAAGTAATTGTTAATAGAATTCATAATTGTACAATTGATGAGTGTTATTTATTATAAACATATGAAGTTTGTATTAAATGCAAGAGGACAGATTAATAATATATATATATGAAACTTTTTTTATTAATCATTCGCATAATTTCTATTTTTTGAGTAATTAATTGTAACACAGCTTTTGGAAAATTTGGATAGTTTCATAGATATCATAAATGAGTTGTAATTTCTATTATTCTAAATTCTTTATGTTAATTATTAAAATTCTAAATTTAATACTTAATAATATTATGATTTCATAATTCTTTACTTCATTTCAGTTCTTTTAAAAAAATAATTACTTTATATTATAATATTGCATAAAAATGCAGCCATAAACATTAAATAATTAACTAAGTATATCATGGAAGTAAAATCTCTATAATTTTGTAATAATTTTGTAATAGTCTCAAAATTAAACTTGTATAATGAATTTTATTTTTAAAACTTATATAACTTATAACAGAAACTAATTTTTATTAATTTAATTTCTATTAATTTTAATAACCAGTTAATTAACGTAATTAATTAAAATATGATGATGAAGTTTGTTGAATTGAAATATTTGAAATTTTACACGTGATTATATAGGATGGAAATATATGAAAATATACTTCAATTTAAATTTATTTCAATAGCATTAATATATTTGAAATTGTTTTTATCTTGTATACATATATTTTTTCTTATACAATTTCTTTTTATAATGAATATAATGTAATGTTAAATTGATAATATTAAACTTTAATCTTTTTATTAAACAAACAAACATAAATTAAATATTATTAATAATTAAGTTCCAAATTTTTTTATTAATTTATGTAATACATTCAAAAAAGTACAATACAGAAAAAAAGTAAAATTTATAAAAAGGAACGAATTATAATCTTAATTGCAAATTTTTATTTCATTCATAGTAATTTTTATTCTAAACATTTATAAACAATCAAAAAACATATTCTCTTGATTATTCTTTCACATTCCAATTATTTATAAAATAATGGAAAATTTATTGTACAGTTGGACGATTTACGTGAATTGGTACGAAGTCCTCAAACCGAAATCCAAAGACTAATGCTGGAAGCAGTAATAACGATCGAAGTACACGCGCGAGATGTTCTGTATCAACTGGTAAAGGACAAAGTGGCTAATGTAAACGATTTCAATTGGATCTCACAGCTCCGCTATTATTGGATAGATGATCTAGATTTAAAGATTCGTGCTGTAAATGCGGAATTCCAATATGGGTATGTAAATAACTATATATATATATATATATATATATATATATATATATATATATATATAGATA